AAAAAAAAGCAGTATCAAAAACTTTATAAAACAAAACTTTATGAGCTCTTCTGTTAACCACGGATGGTGGCACATGTCTATAATCCCAGTACTCTGAGAAGCTGAGACAGGAGGGTCACAAATTTGAGCTCAGGATGGACAACTTGGCAAGATGCTAGCTCAAAATTTTAAAAATAGGGCCAGTGAGATAACTCAGCTGACTAAACATCTGCTTAGATAGATACAGGGACTGAAGATTCAATCCCTGGCACTTCAGGCCACACCAGTCTTGTCCCCAAGCTCACTGAGCTGGCCACGAGACTGGGCATGGTGATGGTGGCATATGCCTGTGCTCCCAGTGCTGGGGAGGCTGAAGACAGGAGGATCATTGGGTCTGATCTGCACAGTGAGACCCCGTACCAAATACATAAAAAAACAACAAAACCTCCACAAAATTTTAACAATACCACTCGCAAGCTATCTAAATTATAGCTTAAATGATAATAAATTGGCTTATTTCTAAGATGAAAAGCAAATAACGGGCTTAAGGTGTGGCTCAATAGTAAAATGTTTGGATATACAAGGCCCTGGGTTCAGACCCCAGGACTGAGTGTGTATGTTTGGGCAGACTTTCAAATCTGGGAGTAGGGACCTGCAAGACGGTTCAATGTACTAAAGCACCTGCTTAGGCAAACATAGGAACTTCAGTTTGAGTCCCAGCACATTCCACACCAGCCCTTCCCCCAGGGTGGGCTGCATAGGCCACACACACACACAAAAAAAACAAAAACAAAAAAAAGGGAGGCTTGAGACAAGGACACTTCAAGCTCAAGTAGCCAGCCAGCAGTAGTGCTGTGGGCCTATAATCCCTGCACTTGTGAGGCTGAGGCAGGATGACTGCTGGCAAATCTGGGACCAGCCTGGACTATCCAGCAAGATCCTAACCAAAAAAAATCTAGCTCAATAAAGGTCAACGTAGGTAACACAGTGAGAACCCATCTCAAAATCAAATGGACTTTACACCTGCTCAGGATACTGCAAATTCAGGGTAATTACAAGTTTAACCCCCTTTTTTTTTTTTTTTTTTGGTGGAACCAGGGATTGAACTCAGGTCCTTGCATTTGCCAGACAAGCACTTACTCTACTGAGCTATCTCCCTGGCCCCTAACCTTTTCCTGATCAATTTTCTTTTTTTTTGCGGAATCGGGGATTGAACTCAGGCCCTTGCGCTTGCCAGGGAAGTGCTTATTCCACTGAGCCATCTCCTCGGAACCCCCCAATTGTTTTTTGAGACAAGGTTTCACTCTGCAGTGTAAGCTGGCCTTGAACTCATCTTGCTATGTAGTCCAGGGTGGCCTTGAACTGTGTAGCCCAGGATGGCCTTCAACTTGCAGTGATCTTCCTGCCTCAGCCTCCTGAAGGCTTGGCGTTTGCTACCATGCCTGGCTACTCTCCACAAGTGTTAACAGTCAAACCTTTTCTGCAAGGTCAAGGATACTAAGAAACATTCTCAAAATGCTTACAAGCAGCCAGCAGCTAAAAATGCGTAACTATAAGAAAGAAGCATCTGGGTCGCACCACAGGTAGTGTGAGATGGAGAAGCAGTGACACTAAGAGATGAGACAAGGTGGACAAGTTTAAATCCAAAAGCAATGGACATTTATTCCTCAGTTTTTGTGCAAGAGTGTAAAGATGCATCTTAAAG